GCAGACCCACATTTTCAAATGAGGCATATGACTTGGAAGTTCAGAACTCAGCTGTGGAAACAATCGAAAGAAACAATGAAAGGGCGCATGCTCTCCAGGGTGCACAGTTATTAATCAAGACATAATCTGTAAATCCTTTACCTGTCCTTCTTAGATAGGCACTGGGAAGCCATTAAGAGTGACATGTAGCCCCAGATTCTATACACAGATTTCTCTTCTGGTAGGAATTACATTTAGTTATTATCCTAARCACTGTCCATAATTAAGACGCTCAAGCTGATGGATGATAACATCTCCAAGAGAAACACCCCCCTCCTAAGCACTGACCTCAGTGTCCATCAYTTTTTGATCAGCGTATGTGCAGTCYGGAGGGATTTCYAGGTTCTTCTCCAGACTCTTCARTAGATTATCGTGTTCAGCTTCATGCACRAAGTTTTTATCCAAGTTTCTGGGTTTTTTATGGCTTTTTTCATCTCTGTTTGTAAAAAYGAAATTTTAAGAAAGGAAAATTCATGTTCCGCCACCACTGGAAGCCTAGGACTTGCCAAATGGCTGCCTTACACATCAGTACTCTCATGACTCCTTTCTCGAATGCACCTCTGGAGTTTAGATGCCTAGTGAGAAAGCTCCACGTGTATGTGTTTTCCTGGGATGTGATGTTGTGGCCTCATCAAGTCCAGTTCTCCCAGATGACCTTCTTCCCCTTGCTAAATGGAGACTTTCTCCCTTCCTCGACCTTCAGGACACTCAGCTTGGAGTAAGACAGATACTCTCCTTGCCAATTCCTGGTCAATCTCCATCCTAGAGCAGAGGCCATGACTGCCCTGATTTGGTTGCTGAAAGTACCCAACTGCACCCAATTCCTGAAGAACTGCCCCCAACTGACCAGAGGCACCTGAAAATTTCCAGCTTCTGTTAAGGGTAAGGACGTGGCCCACACATATGAGTGTAACAGTGGTACCTTCACCTCCTGAATATAGCCCTCATTGCTCTAAGGCTTATTTTTTTTTTAAAGTTTTTTCTCTCTTCTCCCCTCTCCCCCTCACTAACAAGATTGGGGAGACAGTTAATTGCCCTTGAACACACCCACTGCAGGGAGGCGATGCCTGCTGAGGATCTGGRAAGTGAATATCTCCCAAATTAACAAGTTATTCCTAACATGCCATCAGGGCACCCTGAGACCCCTACCAGATCACACCTAGAATGTAACCCTTGAAGTTTMTTTAAAACCCCCCTGTCCCTCCTGATCCAGAGAGTCACAGGCTTTGGGACAGGAGTCCCCTGTGTTTCTCCTTTGCTAGCAAAGCAATAAACCTTCTTTTTCCTTTTTCTCAAAACCAGGTCCTCATTACTAAATKGGCATTGATTGTCACAGGGGACAAAGACAAAGCTGAACTTTTGGTTACATGAGTTCTAAACGTCAGCCCCCTTGATGCAGGTGGGGATTCYGTGGTATTCCACAGCTTCCAGAAGGGCTAGGCACAGGTTGTTTTCTAGCAGAAAGGACACCCTGATCTTTTCCTCTTCACCTCCCCTTTCCTGCTTGCCTCATTCTCTATGTTACAGTTTCCTCATGAGCACACCCTATCAATGAAGCACTTACACAGATACCCACCCCATCTCATCATGTACCACTAAGGGCATCTGACCTAAGACACTCCTCCATCAACCCTTAGACTCTTGGGTCTTCACACTGTATTCTCTACCACTACCACTCAATGTAATTTTGGTTTGGGTTTTTTTTTTTTGTTTGTTTGTTTGTTTGTTTTTTGTAGCAGGGATTGAACCCAGGAACGCTTAACCACTGAATCACACCCCACCTCTTTTTATTTTTTATTTTGAGACATGGTCTGGCTAAGTTGTTTAGGGATTCACTTAAGTCACTAAGGCTGGCTTTGAACTTGCAATCCTCCCGCCTCAGCTTCTACCTCCTGAGTCACTGAGATTACAGGCATATGCCACCATGCAGACTTATAACAGCCTTTTATATGGACTCAGATCRCTTATTTTCTTTGAGTTATTTAGTTTGTCCCTCAACTGCACACAAGAGATTCTAAATATGAGAAGGTGAGCTTTGTATTCCATCAGCAGTCAGTATCCTCACCTCTAGATAACGTTACCTTTAACTCAGGGGAGAGCAGMATGACTATGAAAGGTCCCAGCCCTATGTTTGCACAATATGGGGCAAAGCACTTATGGAGGCCCACATACTGTTGTCCATAAGTTTTTAATCAAGATAATAAACTATCCAATATAATGCATTCTACCCTTCTACCTTAACAGAYATAGCCCCAGAACAACCTAGAATTTAAAAGGGAGACAATGAGCTCTGGGTGGTCATGTCTCCTTAGCTCCACTGGTCCTCCTTCACAGTGGTACTTTCTAATGTGTAATAAACAAGACAATCCCTCCTTACATTCAGTACAACAATAATGTTGAATAAGACACTGAAACAGCTTGTAATTTTTATAGCTTGGCTTGTTGGTCTCTAAATCCATCTTGAAATATGGCTCCTGGAGAGCTAAAGAAAGGTGCTAAGAAAGCCTCTGCTGTTCCCAGCTAAACTCATCTACTCTCCTCCTGCTAGGGACCCAAAACAGAGGGAGTACAACCAGAAGGATCAGCAGCACGTTCTAGCTTGCTCTAGGATATGGAATATCTAAATCCGAGATGTTCTACAAGTTGTTGCAACTTGAAGGGAAACAGTCACTATTCTCTTAGGAATATTTCTGGAACAATTATCTGCCAGGCTGTGTCGAGCACTAGAGGTACAAAGAGGAAATATATAGTTTCTGTTGTAAAGAAGCTTAAGATTTAGGAAAAGAAATGAAGATTGAGTTACCCATATCTAAAATAGTTGGGACCAGATATTTTTAATATTGAGGGACAAATTAAATAAGTAAATAAGTAAACAAATAAACAAATAAATCAGAGTTCTGAAAATAATGACAAATATTTTTAGCCCATGTTTAGGCGTCAAACAGGAAGGAAGGCACTGGGGGCAGATAGGTCAGTTTATGGAAGGAATGAGATGAAAGAGAATGTCATGTGAAGACAAGGATAAATGTTGAATATTTCTAGAGGGATGTGGTGGGAAGAAGTAAAGACAAAGACTAAAACATTGAAGCCAGAATTAGGCAAGGGTTGGATCCAAAAAATGGAGGGATTGAAATGTTAATTCCTTCAGAGCCCTTTCTCCATCCTTATCAAGAACCTGCCCCTGCTCCTACCTGTAGCTAAGGTAACCTGTCCTAGGTATTATCACTCCCTATAGGGGATCCTGCTGGATCACTCCTCCCCAGCCTTTCAGCCCACCTGTTTCCCAACTTTTGTCCAGCCCAACGAGCATTTCCTAGGCCTAGTCACATATGCAGGAAGGAGAAAGATAAGGGAAAGAGATCAGTAGAACAAAGGAAGCCCAAGACATATAAAAAGGGCAAAACCCCTCACTTCTTGGGATACCAGGCCCCTTTTTCTCTCCCGGGAGATGTCTATGTTACCCCTTTTTAAATAAGCTGTGCTTTATATGCTTGCCTGCATGTGCTTCTCTAATGTCATACTTCAACAGGTGAGAGAGGAGAACTCGTCACCAGTAACCAGCAGTATCAACATGTCGGCATACCAACAATAGTCAGGGCTTAGACTTCACTGGTGAAGCAAGTAAGAAGGAACAACACTGAGCATGGGGTCAGTTAATCAATTTGAATGTTTGCAGGAACATTTGTGGGTTGGACTGAAGAATTGTGAACATCAAGATCTGAAATCCGAAAAGTAGATCTGTGCAATCATCCAGAGAAGACACGATGAGCACCTAAACCAGGCAGCGACTAAAGATGGAGAGGACCACAGGGAGAGCATACACGTGCTGGCCCTAGAGGTGACAGAATTAGACACTGAGAGCAAGGAAGAGGGGACAATAGCAAAGCCCTTGAGATAACTGGCATCTCAATCAATCCAGCCCCCAGCTCATACAAAGAATCACACTGTGATGTTTTGTTTTGACCTGAGACAAAATATTCAGGCAATGTTAAAGTCTTCTGAGGACCGACTGAGAGAAAGAATTCACACATGTCTCGGATATGCTTCTTTTGCGGCATGATTACCTAGGATTATGTAAGCTATCCAGACTGATGGGTTGTGCTCCTGTCTCTCCCAATCTTGAATAAAACTGATCTGYGCCAGGAATATATGATAATGGTCACTTAACTTTACCCCATTCTCCCTCTCAAATTTGCAAATAA